ATTCATTGCACCAGCCTTTTTGTGATGTTGGAAGCCCGGTCTCTTCTCACGGGAAACATATACTAGGCGAGGTAGCTCATTGCCATCTGTATCAAGACCTCCGCTGTGCCCTAAAAAGACCTACATTCAACCGACAAAAAGATAATATAAAGAAAAAGAGGTAAAACAGTGGAATGAAGTTGCGAAAAAAGTATATGGAACCTGTATCATGCCCGGATGATCTCTTGGGTTATTTCCAGGCCAGGGAGTTCCATCCTGCATTGTCCAACCTTCTTCTGGAGTTTTTTGTGCTTTGGCAACAAGAGCATTTATCCGTACCTTGAATTCCTCATATTCTCTCTGAAAATGGAATGATCCATGGGTCAATATAATCTAGTAGTCAAAATCTTAGAGGATATAAGTGCATCTAGTTTCCATCCTTGCCTTCATTGCACGTCGTTCTTTGACAAAAGAAGGTTGAATCTTGTCTTTAAGGTAATCTATCTTCTGAGCAAAATAAAACTCAGGGGCCCTGGGTTCAATATTATGCTTCTTGCAAAAAGGTACCCACTTTCTTGCAAATTCAGCAGTCTCTGACAGTGCTTCAAAAGTAAGCATTGCTGAACCATCATCAGAAACATAACATGAGACTTTGTCAACAGGGTAATCCACAGCAAGAATAGACAACACTGTGTTGGCTGTTATAAGAGGAGGTTCCTTCAAAGGATCCACTGTACTGACAAAAACATCAACAGGAGCTAATTGTGATGGTTCCCCTTCCCTATCATATCTGCAAATGTGTATTGTGAAGAATCATTATAGAAAAAACATGAAGAATATTATGTTCAATAGAGAAAAAGAACAAGACATGATCACTGACCTCAAGGCAAGCCTATCAAGGTATGTCTCACGGTTGATTGGATACCATTTTGGAAACTGATCAAGAAGCCATGACAAAGCAAACCATATCTCACAAATGACCGATGTTAGCCACAAAGGATAAGCATCATGTACCGGATGAGTTACACGATATTGGAAGAAGAAACATAAAATGATGAGCCGAAGTATGATGACCACACGGTAGAGGTTAAGTTGGCTAGAAGGAATTGGTACTATACGGCTTAAAGGTTGCCGAGCATCATCGACCCTACAAAGGGAATTCAAATATCAGATGTATGATTATATGTTGAAGCATCATGAATAAGGCAGCAATTCTTAGCACATACCAGAAATCACCTATGGCTGAAAATTAGAGGTGGGCTGAGATGCACAGTTCAAAGACAAGTTATACTTACAATGGACTTGGTCAAACTGTGGACAGAGATCTACATATTGCATCATTTGATAAATAGAAATATAAAATGACAAGCATTTCTGAATGATAAAGCTTGTCCCTATACTTGTACCTTATTGCAAAATAAGCATTTATTGTATGAATAATTTTATTGCTTGTAATACACACCACTGAAACTATCTAAATCTAGATCTGGGACTGATGTAAATGAAAGGAACATGAAACGACTAGAGATTACCAGCCAGAAGGGAAAAAAATCAAGAAAGCAATTCAAAAAGGCCATATCAGGAAAAATGCAAGGTCCATACATTTGCAGATCTTCACCATTTGAACCAGTTCCTTCCATATCTCCTTTGCCATCATTGTATTTGTTGGTCACGTGCATTATGGTTTTGTCCTGTTTGAGCTTCCAACCTTCAACTCTTTCTTTCCAGTCAACACTACCAAGCCCGTATGAGTTCAAGTCTTTGGAAGGGTCCACAATTCTTACTGGAACTGCCATATAGTTCACCAGAAAACAATTACTGAAAGCTAAATGCCATGTATTAATAAGTTTTATTTTGCAGATGGAAAGAGGATTTAATGTTACCTGGCAAGCTAGGATCTACATAACCTGATGATGGACTTCGAATAGAATGGCGATCAGGTGTTGCATCAGGGACCTCCCCAGAAACCTAAACATATTGATTTAATGGTAAGACCAAGCAAAAGGTTGACCAACAATGGACATCATATTTACTATTATAGCTTTGGACAGTGACTTAGCTATAGATTTGATGAAGGCTCTTAAACAATGAAATTATAGATGATTCAGTAATTGACAAAATTTGAGGTTCAGGTTGGGGAAGAATGCAATGGGTATGGGTCAAAATTTCCTTCAGTTTGAGCTGTGTTTCTTGAGTTCTGGAGATCTTTGAGAGATCTTATCATCATTTTTGCTATTCTACGTGTCCTAAAGGGAATCAAATTTAATGAGAGCTTAAGCCGAAAAGAAACTTCGATCATTCTCTTTCACAGAAGTTATCTTTAGAAACAATAAAGACAAAAACATTCTTAATTAGAAAATTCTTTGTGGCTCAGCACTTCTTCATCATTTGAGAACTAAAAAGACTAGGAATGTTTATTAGATGTTTTCATAATTAGTAAATACAGGTTAATATGCCCAGAGTGAGAAAAACCAACATTAATATTCACCAATGAAGTTGGTTTTCTTAATCAATTGACATGTTATCTTTGATTAATTTTCTACTCATTCATCTATATAATCTTAGCTTTTCTAGTTTATACTGTCACAGCATTCTTCATAGCATATAAAATAAAAGTTAAACTAGATAGTCAAATTTTAGTATGATCTTTGTTTACTCCCCCACATAGAATTTTTTCTAGCATAAAAGCAGCTCCATGTCTATCACTATATTTTAGCAGAAGCAAAAATTTGCTGTTTTAACATTGCAATCCCTATTTTGCCCATGAAGCCAATGTTTAAGACAATGAACAAATGCCAAATATATTGTTTCCTAGAAGAAGTAAATTTCTTTTTAATCTACCTGTTGCCCACTGGTCAAATATGGAATACGGTGTTGAGGTTCATGTCTAAAAGAAGAAGATAAATCAACATCTTCTGCTTGTCCTTGAAGTTGCCATGTATGTCCAGCTTCAACATTGCCTTGCCTGCAATTGAACTCATTGTCTAGATCATCAACATCTTCTTCCTCATCATCTCCATCAACTCGAGGACTACCTGAAATCCACAAGTCAGAAATACTGAAGTAGGTCTAGGTTTGTGATTATATAATCGGATGGGAATTTCATCAAAAGAAGCATCATAAGAGATTCATTTTATGCTTACACATTCATATGCAACTAAAATCTCAGGAGTGGAATGATTAAAACCATGACCTTACCTTTGTGTCTCTTGTACCGAGTCTTGCATTGAGGGCAAGACTTATTCCCTTCCTTCCTCTCATATTCATAACAAGCTCGGCAGACTGGGAAGGCACACTCATTACAAGCAACAAAAAGGTCCCCCGAGTCTGAAAGTCCTACTGTATCACCACAGATTTGACACTCTTGGCCATCGAATTTTTTCAGCAGCTTGGGCTGCATTATGAAACAAGTAATTGAGGATCAGGAGAGAAAGGAATCAGAAAACTTGTAAAAGATGTCCATGTTCCAATGATGTAAACATAAGTCAGGTGTATGAGATAAGCAAAGCTAACAACTTCATCAAAATATATTTAAACAGTTAAATAAAACACGAAAAACCAAGAAACCAAAATTTTGGTGACAGCCAAGACCAAAATTTGGTCCAAACTGCCAAATTAATAATTTCAGTTAAATGATCCTGCAAATTTCAATTTCTTTAGAGAAGTCTCATGCAAACCATGAAAATACCAGTGGATACTATATCAAGTCCAAGTCCATAAAGCACAAACTGGCATGCAGATCTATGCCGGCGAGAAAGGGCAGCAAAGGATATTTATGCATTTTTCAAAATACAGGGATTTCAAGCGCAATTAGGAAGGAAGACTCTGATATCTATCTAACAACACATAAGGAAGACAACAAAGTCGAGCGCATCAAAGTCGCAAATTTAACAAGAGTCCACAACAAGCAACTAGAGTTACAGCTAACTCAAAACAAAATTAAGCGTTTGATTCACCCCTAAAACAGGTGAAGTTTAATGCCGAAGCAATCTTTTAACTAATACTTCCTGCAAGAAAGACAGTGAATCGCATAGGGTTGTCGACATCAGTTCAAAATCATACTAAAACTGACTAGAGAAGAAATTCCAAAATGGATATTTGAATGCAGAACAAAGGCAAAATTATGGTCTTTCCTAACAGTAACCAAAAGGTATGCAACATCTTCAAATTGACCGGCACCATATGCCTTCCAATCCAGTCAATCCGAACAAAACCCATCACAAATTGCATAAGACGATTATGAACCCGAAGTCAAACCACAGAAACCGCAAAGTGCACCACTCGATCCAAGCAACAGGCCGACCAAAATGCCAGTTCTTTCAAAAGAATCGAGAAGAAGGAAAAATGGTCGGATCTTGGCCATCCGTAACAGGATGAAGAGGCGAAAAACGGCAAACACCCACCCCGGCTTCTCCTCCCTGCCGAATCATCACGAACTCGTTCCGCTTGTGTGACCCCGCCACCATTCCCGCATTGGCTTCCATGACGCTCCCGACACCCTACCCAGATCCGATCTTTCTCCGAGCTGCCCACCAAAATCTCTGGAGAAGAATCACCTTACACCGAGGAGGAGGAAGAGAACAATCGATCGGGATCTCTTCCGATGGGAGCCGAAGAAGCGCACCGGTGGTCTCTCACTCGCTGCCGCAATCCCCCATCCGATGATTCCTATCCTCCTCAGCCGTCGCTTTCCTCTTTCATCTCATATTACTAATAAATTAAATATAAACTAATATACGTTTAATCGCAGCCGTCGGATGGAAGGGATTGATGGATTCTTAAGCGTCCGATCACCGCGCAAGACACCGCCAAGTGTCGGTGAACTCGTGCAGTAAAGCCAGTGTCGGCTTCCGCGGGCAAAGTTTGGTGTCCCTTACAGCAACAGTGGTGACTGGATGCGTCGGTGGCGTGAGTTGGAGAAAGTGTCGGTGTCGGCGAAACGTGACGTTGTTGTTGTCGTTTGTTTGTAACGGCTCGTTATCTACAGAAATCGGTCAACTGAAAGAACGTATCCGATTCACTATGAATTAATTATCCTAAGATAACTAACTATATTGCATAAAAAAGAAAGAAAATTATATCTAAAATTTTTCCGTCGTCAACTGTACGTCCCCATTCGAAGTGGGGAGAGATATCAATCGATCCAGTCTGCGTAAATATGGTTCAGCTTCTTTATCCTCCGCAACCTTGGGAAACACTTCAATGTTGGTTCTGAGCTGGGTGGTGGTGGTGTTCCTGTCCCAACGTGGGTCGGAGAGTTTGCAGATCTGGGAAGAGTACTGCTTCTCGTAGCCTCTTCCGAATAATCCTTCGCTGCCTCCGCAAAGCTCATCGGAGTCTTCTTCAACACTGTACCAACAAGAACACAACAGCTGATCAAACACAAAGCAGACTCTAAATAAGCCATGAAAGCAAGCAAAGCCTGGCTTCGAGTGTACCTGCAGAACCATGCGCGAAGACGCATCTCTCGTCGGATCGGCTGGCGTTGGCTACAGACGCTGCAGGCAGCGTCGGTCTGACGGCCGAGCCACTCCCTCGTGCATGCGAGTGCGAGTACAAGCATCTGTCGCCGTAAGGGCAGGCACCGGCGGCAAAGCTCCGGCACAATTTGGTCTTGTGCGTCCCGGCGATATCCTGCCAGTTGGGCACCGGCTCGCGGAGGTCGGCGGGTCCGTGGGCGAACCTGCAGAGGTGGCCGTAGGGGCAGACGCCCCTGGTGCTAAAATTCTGGCACAGTCGGGTCTTGTAGAACACGAGGTTTGGGTCAATGGCGGGAGGAGGAAGGGGAGGGAGCATTGTAGAGATCGATGAAGGCATGTTTGGAACGGGAGGAATCATGGTAGGGGGTTGTTGTGGTGGTGAGTGTAAGACGAACCGACGTTTCTTTGGCGGGGGAGGCTCCATGAATCCGTGCTGCTGCTGCTGCGGCGGCGGACGGAGGAGGGTTGATAGGAAGACAGGCTTCGGGCCAAGATAAAAAGAGGGAAGAAGGCTCAAATCAACGACAAATCTTAATCCTACTCCAACTTGGAAAACGCCCGCTACCGAACCCAACTGGAACACCAGTGGCGGTTGGAATAGTCCTACTACCCAACTCGGTTGTATCAATAGATAGGCCTATCCGACTCAGCATGCACTACTAGTTGATGTATGATGATAATTTGTGTCACAAATCTCATCAGAGATACTATTTTACATCTAAAATGTTAATCTAATGATAATATATCAATCTCACTTATCAAATATTGAAGATTTGAAATCTCATCCGAACGATATATATATCAGATCAGATCTACTTATCAAAGATTGAGGATGTCAGATAACAAACTTCCATATACTCTATAATAGCAAGGTTTAAAGATCAAATCTTATCATCACCGATTCCCATTTGACAATTCAGGTTGAATCAAACATTTAAAAGTAAAACCTTAATCATAACACGACTGTAAAGGAGACTATAATGTGAACAAATTACATTAAAACAAAGGCATGGCCACTAAATTCTCCAAGCAAAACACGTAGTGAGCTTAAACCTACAACGGCAAATAAACTAATATGGTAATTAAAAAAGAGAGCTATGAGTGTGTAGAGATCATTTGGATTCTATCAAGTTGATAAAAGAGTGATGGCACACAAATTTTACCATAAAGCCCAAACCAAAATTATGAATTAACAACGTGATTATCTAACTCTAGCACACTTATTCATGATGGATCTTTAATTAAGAATGAGATCCGTCAAGTCCCAGCACCGTGGTAAGAAATTTGCAGACATCATTCATCTCACCAGGGACAGTATAGTGGCCAAGCCTACACAATTTCATCGGTTAGTTCCATAGAGGTTGCAATTTGGCTGACCGAATAAAAATGGTCATGTAAAAAAAGATTGCATACCCATTGTATGTTTTGAGTGCAACATTTTCAAATCCACTTGATTTTAAAACCTGAGCAGATTTCTCACCATGTTTATATAACACCACTTCATCTCCTGTAAGAATTCAACTTTAGCATAACTGAACAAGTTACCATTGCAGAATGTAATAATGCTCCAAAGTAATGCAACTTCCAACATTTAGTAATTGGGATAAAACATTTAGAGAAAAGAAGAATGTGACATTGCAGATTTGTGTTGAATCACGAGAATCAGATGCTGATAAATGACTTGAAATATGTTCAGACCTCAAGAGATGAAATGGTGTATAATCTACATCATCAAGAATTCATCTTATAATGATTTTGATCATTAAATTCATCATTTTGATGATTAGAAGAATACTAGATGAAGACTGCCATCTTCCACTTGCATTTCCATGAGAAGTGAAATGTATCGTTAACTGACTTAAGTGTTTCATGTGCTACATTTTGGATAAAAGGTGCATGAGCTGATCTCTTGTATATTGCATAACTATTATAGTCAGCTAAAACATGAGATCAATGATACATCAGGTTGGCATCACCTGGTAAATTCATGAATATCATAGATAGATCTGTTTGTATGTAACTTAACCTAAAGCCAGCAACTAAATGTGCAACTCAAGTGCACATCTAGAGGATATAATGAGGAACCACAGCATGATATATTTATGATGATGTACGGACGCATACCATTTCCATGGCAAAGTAAAATAGGCAAGGATGAAGCTCGTCTTGCAGCATCTTGGGAACCTTCCAACTTTCTCTTCAGACTCCTAAAAAAATAAAATGGCTTTGCAAATGAGATCACTCTAGATTTAAATGTCAAAGTAGAAGTGTCGCATTGACATGGAAGCTCTTTATGACAGTACAATATACCTCGCGCATGGAAGCCAGCCACTTAGACCAACAACAACACTTAGATTGACAGGGTAGGGCTTGCCATTTCCATATTTTCCATGAGCACAACAAGTTGCAGAGTACAGGGCAGTGGCAGCACCCATACTAAAGCCACCAACGCCAAGTTTGACTGTGATAGACAGTCAAAAAGTATAGCACATTACAGATCCCAATTGATCAAATTACATGCAACATGCATGACATAGGTGGCTTATGCAAAACATACAAAGCTTAATGCCGCACATGATCACAGGTTTAATGTGCCATAAGAAATAAAGAAGATGGTCTTCTAAATTAATCTGTTGCATGAAGTTGGCTGTTTTTGCTTTTATCATCTTAGCTTCTACTGATTGCATCAAGTAGACAAATCCAAGGTTCTGATATACAACTTGGTCCATTTCGAGCAACTAATGGCGAGTTGAAAAGCTAGACTATATACGAAGGATGGCATATATTCTTCACAAACGTCATGTTCATGGATTAACAGCTACCATATGGTGAACAGGCACATCAAAATAAGTTGAAAAGCTAGACTATATACGAAGGATGGCATAAATTCTTTGCAAACTTCTTGTTCATGGATTAACAGCTACCATATGGTGAACAGGCACATCATAATAGGTTTGTTTGAGAGAACATACTATCAGCAGGCTCTGTCGACAATAAATTTGCAACATGTGCAGCTGATGCATCCATTCCTTCAACATCATCAGGGCCATCCTCTGACAGATCCCCAACGTCAAACCCTATAAAACAGAAAACTTCTTAGGTACCTTGCTAATATCACATATATTATAATTTTGACTCCCATGCACTTATCCCACAGATACAAATATTGCATTGATATGTTACTCCAACCAGTTTGGAACTCAACAATTTTACATATGCATTCACTCACAAGAAAGTAAACTTATAACAGATATTACAGTCAATCTAATTAACTTACAAGCAGTTGAAGGAAATCCACCAAAAACTGCTACAGGCCTGGTAGGGGCAGTTGGGCATATCCACTTAATCTGCATAGGTCCAATTGAGTTCATAAAGATTTTAATAGAAGACCAGCAAATGATGAACTACCCAAGATCATACTAGTTAAGTTACGGGTAATAGAAAATGTTATTTTCATATTTATCATGGTATAAAAAATGATTAGCGATTTTGTTCTTACATTTGGAAGAGGGAGGGTTTCCAGGAGTTGGGACCAGCTGCAGCATAAGCAAGAAATAAGCAGATAAGGAATGGAACTATCAGAATTCTTAGCACAACTTTTCCCTAAAAGGGTAGCAGTTTCAACTAATTATAGATCAGCTATCAGACACATGAATTCCCATGCCACTACAACAGATGGTGCACTGTAAACTTTCATATAAAAATTAAGTCTTCAGAAAGAAACAATGAACAGAAGACAGCCAACTACACCGAGCATTGGACCAGGCTTCTCATAAAAATGCTAAGATGCCATTAACATAGAACAAGGATAACTATAGCACATAAAACATTTTTAAGGTAGCAGCTAAAGCAGACAACAGAAATTTGATATGGAGTATCTTTCTCTCTTGTATTGGACTATCAGTTTTTGCAATTTTTAGTTTTTCTCAAAGTGCAACCAAAGAGGTCTTTCATAAAACTCATAGTCATAGCTGCTAAACTGATGCCTGATTCTCTATACTGAACAGCCAGGAGGAGAGTTGAAGGAAAGCTAGTAAACTGATGGTCACACCATCAAGACTTCGATCTTGTTCTTTTCTCTTTTTTTTCCTTTTTTGTAAGTGGGCAAGGTCCTAATCAAGTTCTAGTAAGCAAAGAACAGAGAAATTCCAACTGGATGGTACTTTTCTATTTCTTACTGATTTTATAATGTGATGGTCTTCTTATAGCACTAATTAAAATATGATTTAATTACGTAAAATAACCAGAATCAGTTTTTATATTATAAAGTCACAACTTCTGTTACAGCATTAAAATGTGGAGAAGAATTCCCTCGTTAAGCAACCATAAAAGAATAATCTGGATTTTACAGTACTTTAGAGAAAATAAAATGACTATTTTTTGGAGAAGCAACATGATGTAAAACTCGTTGAGGAAAACAATAGATGCGACTTAACAAAGATGCCAAGCAGCCTTGAGTTGATATCCAACATAGACAGTAACTTAATAAAGATTGCCCAACATCCTTCAAATAATATCCAGAATAGACTGATGCTGCACATGGTCCAACTTCATGTGACATAAGATATCATGTACAAGCAGTGGTTTAATATGGTCTCTCAATCACTTTATATTCTACCGCCTACTAGATTAAACTTATGCAGAAAATTTTTCTGGGGTCAGAACCAACTTCACTGACAAACTGATGGTCAATAGTGAATGTTGCAGGTTTATCAATCACACACAAAAATACACAGAGGGGAGCTACCAATACCTTGCTCCATTATCACCTAGGCCATGAAGCCACACAACAGTGGCCAGGTGCCTCCCCTTAGGTCTGACCACATGGGTCCTTCCAAAGTCAAACGCCCTTGCAGCAGTCTTAGCACCTGAATTTATTCATTGATTCATTCAAACAACCCCCCATAGCAGCAAGGAACCGGAAGATTGGTAACGGAGGAAGAAAGAGTAATCAAACCTGAAGCAATCGAGCTGCTTCCGTAGCTCATCTCCGCAACAGCAACAACAGCCCCTCTCCCCCCTAGCAACCTCCAGATTCTACAGGAAATGGCTTCGTAACGAACTCGCACTACCTGCGGAAAGAAGCACCATTTTTTGACATCAAATGTAGAGTTCAGGAACACACAGTAACAAGAAGCCACTAAGATCTGATCCAGGGAAACGCGTATGGGTCCAAAAAAGAACTTCGCAGAATGGAGGATAAAAAGGGGGGAAAAGGAAGGGAGCTTTCCAACCTTGAGGCAGAGACATCCTTGGCTTGGATTTGCTCCCAAGAATCGATGCTACCGGAAAGAGTAAAGTGTAGTGTCGCAAAAAATAGAGAGGGAAAAAGAAAAGAGCATCGACAACAACACGTTCCACAATAACCAAAAGTACTCAAGACAGAAAGAGCTACAGGACTTCGATTCGTGATCAAACCTCAGATTACCAAAGGATGCTTGATTATTGCTTTCGCTTTCCTAGATCTATCTCGCTTTCTCCTTGCTTTCGCCGGCTACAGCAAGGGTTCTTGGGATCGGGCAGGGGAATGGCACGGTGGGAAAAGAATGAGTCGGGGACAACCGTCGAAGAACAGAGCGGAACCCCAACCCGACCAAGTGGCCACCATCGACGAGCCTTCTTATTGGTTGCAGCCCTTCCATCAATGTGATGGGCCACCGCTTGTCGCTTGCTTGTTTGTGCCGCTAAGGCCCACTGTCGAGTTGGCCGAGTACCGGCTGAGCATCGTACCGCCCACCAACTGTTTGGTGATTGGCCCGTCATCATCATCCCTTGCCGTTGCGGTGCAAGCGAGACGGCCAATGCCTCCGCGACTCGGACGGCAAAGGAGTCGAGCTGTAATTAAGCTCAATCGAGTCCGAGAACCATGCATGGG